AGCAGGAACTTAATTCTACCTCATTGTCCTAATAAAGGTGGAAGGGGATAAAATAAAATGAACACAAGGAAATCCAAGCATGGTGGCCTGTTCACAGGGGAGTTTTGAGCACTGACTGGGTCATTGCACCTCTTAGCTTGCTGCTGGCCTCGTTACATGGTATGTGTGGGTGAAAAGTGTAAGTTTGTCCTCCTTAGGATTGCAGTCTTACTGCAGCACAGATTGTGCTTCATTTGGGCCGGTCTGGACTTTTAAGCAGAATCAGGCAGTGATGGGACCTTGGCTTCAAGAGAGGGGTTAATGAGCCTGGTTTTGGGCCGCTGTGCTTGCGGCAGAGCGCATGATTCATGATCTCTCTGCATGGGACCTGGAGATCACAGAGGTACCTCACCAAAGCACTGGCTGCTGCTTCCCTGCTGGGAAGGGGCAGGCAGGAAAAAAGTCCTCACTGCCTTCACAGTTCCTTCCTCTACTAAATGCAAAAATGAATGCCAGGCTTTTCCCTGCAAACCAATCAAAGCAGTAACAGAAGAGGGAGATTTATTGGGTTTTATTTTCAATATCCCTTGTTTCCCTGAATAAGAAATAGAAAGTTAGGTGTTTTCTTCTATGAAACACCTAGATGGAGAAGCACATCTGCAAAGATGAGATGCTTTTTCAAAAAAATTTTTTAAAAAAAAGCTATTCCAGCTTTCCATAGCTGAAATACCAAAGCCCACGAGGTCACTGTGCTGCTTCTAACGTATGGTTCATGTTTCTAGGAGTACGCTGTGGAGAGTTCAGCAGAGCAATTGATGTGGATGATAGGAAATGGGCATCAGTAGGCAAAGGCATCCAAAATTTAAAAATACTCATCAATTTGAAGAGCGCTAATTTGTCACAGACTGCATAACAAAGGAAACAGGAAATTAAAGGCATCTCCTCTCTGCCAGTAGGAATAGTTCATAGTCACTTGTGACTGTGACCTTGCATATAGCATTTTCATAATATAATGAACCCTGGGGTTGTTTCATTGTCTGCTTAGCCATTATTTTTATATAGGAATGTCTAGAGACTTCAGCCAAGAGCAATAGGCTGTTAGACAAGGTAGCAGGCCACCGTATAGTCTCTTTTCCAGGTTAGTGTCAGGAAAATTGTGGAAAGGTGTGGAGCAGCTAACCAAAGAGGGTACATAGCAGGTGAATGCTGTCCTCTGCCAGGTGTTGAAAGTACCAAAAAAATCCTGTTATTGCTTCTCTTGTCTGAAATGTGTGTCTGCACTGAGCAATAAACTGTCTCAAGGCATCTTGCAGAATAGGGCCAAGCTGGTCCCTGATTTTAATTCTTGTAAACAGCTTGACAATTTATTTCTTCTCCTTAGGTGACAATCATTGGCTACACACTGGGAATTCCAGATGTGATCATGGGCATCACTTTCTTGGCAGCCGGAACCAGTGTGCCAGACTGCATGGCAAGTCTTATCGTAGCAAGGCAAGGTAGGTTCAGCACAGTGATACACCCATGGAAACGTTTCCTCGTGTACACAGATATGTCCTGATGGTGAAAGCATAGGGAGCCCTTTTCCCAAGGCGGACACTTGTAACACAAACAGAAGGAAATTAGCTGTGTTGCTATTGCAGACCAGCTAACAGATTCATAAAGGCAGTGTGGACAAGTTTTGGCACTACTGTCAACTTCAAGCCTTCCCCAAAAGTCACAACGTTTTTCTTAAGTATCAGTGGTGTAGAATTGTTTAGAATGTGGCATAAGGGTTTTCAAGGTCACTTTCCATAAGAACTAGAAGATACTACTGTATTTAAGGAAAACTTTTTTTTCCTTCTTGTGACTCCAGCAGGAGGTGTTTTAAGAGAAAAATGAAAGTTGCCAGTACTGCTTTGGGGAACAAAACACATGGCACTTCATTGAAACAACCAATTACTTAATAGACTAGCTGAAGGCCCAATCTAACCAGACCAGTATAGAAACTCATATGTCACGGTTAGAGCAAAGCATCAAAAACCCCAGGGGGGTGGCACGAGTGCCAGCGGGTCACAGCCAGCACAGCCAGTGACCAGGGTCCCCACAGGATTAGTTTAGGGAAGTTCTCAGGTGGTCCTAGAAGGTGGATTCAGCCTCTTCAGCCCTCCTTGTATGGTCTTGTATGATGGGAAGGGGAAAGGAGAGGGATGGGGTGAGGGGGATCTCCCATAACTCTTTGTCTTAATCCATGGAAATTGTCTGGATTAGCTCAGTTTGATGTATTCCTGTTTAGAAGTTGAAAGACTTCTCTGAGATATGTCTGATGGTACATGGTTTCTATTCCTTCAGGTATGGGGGATATGGCTGTGTCCAACTCCATCGGAAGCAATGTTTTTGATATTTTAATAGGCCTAGGCCTCCCATGGGCTTTGCAGACCCTAGCAGTGAATTATGGATCATACGTAAGTCCTGCATTTGTTCGTGTGATTGTTTTATAGTTAACTAATTAATGACTTTTTTTTTATAAAACGTATCTATCTTGGGGAAAAAAAAAAGTCCAAAATTCTGTGGATTGCTCTTGAAGAAACAAACAGGTTTGCTCTGTTACACTCTGGGAGAAGTAGCAGTTCCTGTCAGTGGACATTCCCCATCCTTTGGAGGACAAGTATTTCCATCTCCTTCTTAAAGGCTGTACTGAAATAAGCTAACTCGCTAGAGTATACTGTATTTTCACACACTTGAATATATTCCAAATAAGGGGAATGATCCTGTTTTTATTAAGCCACAGGGGATAAACATACTGGTGGAAAGTGAAGGATAGAGCCAGACCTGTACAGCTTTTGGTAAGAAGAATTCTAGTGTTACTAAATTGTTAATACACTGGAAGGTGAAAGAAGCCGTTAAATAACTGGATGATATTTCAGAGCATAACTATGATCAGGAGACACTGCAGAGCTTTGCTGTTTGAGAAAAAAAATACCCACCAGCAAAACTGTCCTTTACTTCCCAAATGCTAAAAGAACCTCTCCCACAAAGTTGTTGCAAGGTCTCTTCTGGGAAGGAGGAGCAGGAGATGCCGTGAAGTCCTAGAGGGAAGCTGCTGTTTCTGTTAGGTGGACACCACTCAGGCAGCAGTGTGGGAGAGGAAAGATTCTTGATTACAGTCACTGGGTGAATGCAAAGTTAAAAGACTGGAGAATCACAGAATTGTTGAGGTTGGCAAGTATGTCTGGAGATTGTCTAGTCCCCAGCCCTCTGCTTAAAGCAGGATCAGCTAGAGCAGGGTGCTTAGGACCATGTCCATTTGGGTCTTGAACACCTGCAAGGGTGGAGACTACACAGACACTCTCAGTAGCCTGGTCCAGTGTTTGACCAGTCTCGCAGCAAAAAAGCATTCTTACGTATACGTGGGATTTCTGTATTTAAAACTATGTGCTGCCTCTTGTCCTTTCAATGGATACCACTCATGAGAGTCTGACTGCACCTTCTCTGTCCTCTCTTATCAGGTATTTATATCTATCAGTAAGTCCCCCTGAATCTTCTCAAGGCTGAACAGTCCTAGCTCTTTCAGCCTCTCGTTCTATGTCAGATGCCACAGTCCCTTAAATCATGCTTGTGGGCCTTCACTGGAAGTCCATATCTTCCTTGTATTGGGGAGCCCAGAGCTGTGCCAGGCACCCCAGATGTGTCTCACCAGTGCTGAGTAGAGAAGGATCATCTCCCTCTACCTGCTGGCAGTGCTTCTTCTGATGCAGCCCAGGATGCTGTTGGTATTCCATGCCACAAGGGTGCATTGCGGACTTCAGCTTGGCGTCCACCAAGGTCAAGGTCTTCCTCTGCCGAGCTGCTCTCCAGCTGCTCAGGCCCAGCACTGCTGGTACACAGTGTTGTTCCCTCCCAGGTGCAGGACTCTTCATTTCCCTTTGTCCGTGTTCCTGAGTTTCCTGCCTGCAAATGTCTCCAGCCTGCCCGAGCCCTTCTGGGTGGCAGCACACCCCTCTGGTGCATCAGCCCCCACTCCCAGTTTTGTATTGGCTGAGAACTTTGCTGCCCTGTTGTCCAGTTCATTAAAAAAGAGATGAAGCAGTATTGACCCCTGGGGTGTACCACTAGTGACTGGCCTCCAGCTGGGCTTTGAGCACAGCTGTTCGACCAATTGTCAGTCCCCTCTGCTGTCCACTTCTTGAGTCTGCTCTTCTTCTGCTTGAGGAGGTGTTTGAGAGACGGTGTCAAAAGCCTCACTAAAGCTAACATACACAGCATCTGTTGTTCTCCCCTCATCCAACAAGTCCACCTCATCACAGAAGGCTATCAGGCTGGGTAAACGTGATTTCCCCTTCATAAATCTATGTCTGCTTTCAATCACCTTCTTGTCCTTCCTATGTTTAGAAGTGGTTCCCAGTATTTTTTGCTGCATCACCTTCCCAGTGATCGAGATCAGGCTCATCAGCCTGTAGTTCCTTGGATCTTCCCTATTCCTGAATATAGGAGTGACAAAAGGAAACAATG